AGTGTGTTTTCCTTCAAATGATAGGGTCATATCATGATAGCAGTGTAATTTATTAGCAGCCAGTGACATATCACAGTTAAAAATATGTCGAACAAAAGGTTCCTAACCTATATTTAGAGGTTTTGAAAGGTAGGGAAAAAAGGATGTGTAAGGAAATCTATCCTTCATGTTATATAACTCTTCCAGGCCAGAACCACACTGATTCAGAGAGTTGCCAGATGATACATCACTTACCCACACACTGATGGTAAAGTTTAGTATTGCCAGAATGAGATTTTCATAGTTGGATTCCACATGATATGGCATTAGAAATACAATGGTAACCTTTATTTTGCTTTAGAACATTGTGACATGCCAATATTTGAGAATGCCACAGCCATAATCACTGGAAAACCAGTTCGACCCGATGACATGTTGGGCTACCAATGCCTGGATGGCTATGAAAACAGAGATGGAAGCAAAAAGGGTGCCATGGTGTGTGGTGAGGGCGGCTGGTCCCACTTGCCAACCTGCTTTAGTAAGTATTTTGATGCCAGCTTTTCCTTTTCCAAGAACTGAAAAGTCTACATGTATGGAATCCTTGCTTGAGTGTGGAGATCTAAGGCATTTTTAACACACAAGGGTTAAAATGCAAAATAAGGATAATACTTCTTATGCAGCTTTACATGAATAGTTTCCAACAAAACTACAATTTGTTCTTCAACATTTAAAATGCTCTTTTTCAGAATCTTCAGAAAAGTGTGGGCCTCCTCCAGGGATTAGCAATGGCGACATCACCTCCGTCACGTTAAAGGTGTATTATCCGTGGTCAACAGTGAAATACCAATGCCAGACCTACTATCAAATTCAGGGTCCTAAATATGTCACCTGTAGTTATGGAAAGTGGTCTGAAGTCCCGAGGTGCATGGGTAAGTTCTCAAGATTCTTCTGGATCCTGAGACCATGAGGGTGATGCTGATGAGCCGGTGTGCAGTCTACTAGTCATGCAGTCAGAGTCTAGAACTGTGCTCACCAACAGCTCTCCTGCTCAATGTCTCACATTCGGAGACTCGTGTGTAGGGCTGTGAGCTTGGAGAATCCCTATGTGAACAATGATAAAGGTCCTTTAAACAGGAACATTTGGAGAGGCTGATTCTGATACATTAGCTGATCCCACTGTGGACCCTACATGACTCATCCTCTCCTGTGTATGTGTCCCCTTCTGCGGGAGATTACAGCAAACCCAATAAGGCCAGGACCGGAAATCAAAGTTAATATACCCAAGGCAGAATAGTCTAGAAACAGCTCCGAACTAGGTTATATAGAAAGGAAAGTATTAAGTTTTAGAAAAT